CTTTTCTTTTCTTTTTTTTTTTTTTTTTCCTTTTCCTAATTTCTTGACTCTTAAAAGCATCGACACAAGCAAAGACTCACCACTAATTGAGGTTTTACCCCATTAACACCTGTGCCCTTGGAATCCAAGTGCTCACATCACCCTCAGTGTCTCCCCTGCAGTGAACGCTTTCTTAGGAGCCTCACCTGGACCACAAGCACAGGCCCTAGCTTGTGGCCTATATCCCCTTACACCATCACTACAGGACTTGTTTAAATACATGTTGTCATCTTCATTCAATGATCTATGTAGCCATTTCAAAAAAAAAGGCTGAGGCAGCTCTCTACGTCTTTTTTTTTTTTTTTTTTTTTGTCGTACGCGGCCCTCTCAATGTTGTGGCCTCTCCCGTTGGGGAGCACAGGCTCCGGACGCGCAGGCTCAGCGGCCACGGCTCACGGGCCCAGCCGCTCCGTGGCATGTGGGATCTTCTCGGACCGGGGAACGAACCCGTGTCCCCTGCATCGGCAGGCGGACTCTCAACCACTGTGCCACCAGGGAAGCCCCGCTCTCTGTGTCTTGATAGGAAATTACATGAATGATAGATACCTCTACATGAAAAGGAAAGCAAAGTGTAGAGGGGGTTATATCATGTGTTAACAGTTGTGAGGGAAGATGTGGCCATTAAAAATGGACACATGGGGCTTCCATGGTGGTCCGGTGGTTAAAACTCCGAGCTCCCAATGCAGGGGGCCCAGGTTCCATCCCTGGTCAGGGAACGGGATCCCACATGCCGCAACTGAAGACCCCGTGTGCTGCAACTAAGACCCGGTGCAGCCAAATAAATAAATAAATAAATAAATAAATATTTTAAAAAAATGGACACACACTCACATATACAATTGGATCTTCTTAGAATATTTATGGAAGGATACATAGAAAACTGGTCACTGGCATGGTTTCTGGAGAGGGGAACCCAGTGGCTGAGGGTTAAGGATACGAGAAGACTTTCTGCCGTAAACCCTCCAGCACCTTTTGAGTTTTGTACCATTCGCTTTTCAAAAATGAATTCATGTGAGATAGAGAAAGACAGAAAGCTTATTCTCCATGTGAAAATCTTAGGAATTAACGTGCAGTTGAAACAGCAATAGCTTTCTCGTTCTGTGGTCCTTCGTCACTTAAAGTGGCTCTCTTTGCCACCTAAAAGCATCTCATAATCATCAGTGAGGATGTTGAGTGACTGGAAATGACTAGAAGATAAAGTTGGCCCCCTGCTTGGGAGAAGGGCCCCTCCAGTCCTACCATTTCCAGCTGGTTTTTCCTGTGTGAATCTGGAAACCGGACACCTGGCTGTCCCCTCACCACCTCCCTCCAAGACCGATGGCTTTGTGGTCCTCAGTGCTGCTCTTGTGCTTGACCTTGTCTGCTAGGCATCCCGGGCATGGTTTTCTGCTCCACTCACTGCCAGGACTAATTGGACTGATCTTTTCCATTTGGAAAAACTCCACTCACTGGTAGATATATTTCTCCAGAGGATGCCAACTTCCAGGCCATTAGAAATTGCCTGTCATCTGCTGTAGGCAAGATCCTCCCTTGCCTTTTCCTTCCTTGTCAAATTCTGAGGAAGGACTCAGAAAGGTTTCAGTCCTGCCTGAAAGGCAGGTGGGTCCTGGGTCTCCGGATCCTCAGCATAAACAAAACGGTCTTGTGTGGCTGTACTATGTGACACTCGGTGGCGGGGGAGCGTCTTCAGTGGTTGGTTATTCAGATATTTTAGGAACTTGCAGATTGAACACCTTTCTTTAAACCCAAACCTCAGCACTCTCGATGTTTTGGGCTGGATAATTCTTTGTTTCAGGGGGCTTTCTGATGCATTGTAGGATGCGTAGCAGCCTCCCTGGCCTCTACCCACTGGATACCAGGGATGTTCCCCACATGGTGACAATCACATACATCTCCAGACTTTGCCGAGCGTCCCGGGGGTACAAAAATTACCCCTGGTCAAGAACTCTAATACCTTAATCCATCCTTTTTCTCTGAGCGTGACAAACGTTATCCCTCACAACTCCTTTTCTTTTCTAACCATTTTAGACATTTTTCTAAAATGTACTCTAAGTAACTTTTGTTTGAAAGGTGAGGGTGGGAGCAGATGCTCTCCGAAGATACTGTTCCTCTGCCTTTAATTAAGTCTCTGGAAACCTGGACCTCATAGCTTTGTAGGACAACTAGAAAGTGGTGTTTAAATTTGGATATATTAGTACTTAGTTGCCTGGTCTCGTTTTTACCAAGAACAATGTCCCATTTTATGTGAAATGATGGGGTAGCAAGATTATTCCTCGAGTGAAAGGGATCTGACCTCTGTGGAGTGGACGTGTCTAAGGGCAGGGAGGGGGTTATATTTTAGACCCGTTGAGGACACCTGGTGTCCTGGGCTCCCCTCCACCTGGACTAACCCCAGGAACCCTAGGAACTTCCATACCACTCTTGTGGGTTGGTCTGCCTCCTGTGACCTTCCCCGGAGATACCTAGAGCCCATGGGTCTCCTGGGGATATTCAAACCGGATTCCTAAAACTCCACCTCCAGCTTGGTGCCGCTCTCAAGTCATCCAGTTGCCTGTCTCAGTACTGAGTTATTTTAATCCGATCCTGTTGTTCTTAAACAAGCCCTCAGTGGTCCCCAAGTGCCCCTGGAATGAAACCCCAGTGCCTGCCTCTGGCTGACGAGGCCCCGCACCATCCCGCCTCCGCCCTCTCCCCTAACCTCTCCCCCCTCACACACTGTACTCCAGCCACACTGGTCTGCTGGGGATGCTGAGCCAGCTGAGCTGGCTAGGTAGCCCACCTCCGGGCCTTTGCACCTGCAGTTCCTCTGCTCGGAATGTCCAGGTCATCTGGAGGTATGGCTGACTTTCTTTCCCTTAAGATTGCTTCTTACATGTCCCCCCCTCGGGAGGGGGCAGTCTTTTCTCCTCACCGCCCCCTCCCCACAGCTGCCCACTCTGCCCATCGTCCTGCTTTCTGCTGTTCCCATGGCACTTCCAACTCTCGAAAGGGTCTCCTTCAAAGTGTCTGTGTTTAGTGTCTGTCTCCCTGCCCTGGGATGTAAGTTCCATGAGAGCAGTGTCTGGTGTCGGTCACCACGGGTGTGGTACCCAGATAGGCACCCCATTCGTGCTGGCGAGTAAGCGAGTTACAGCCGAGGGTCTCTGGGTGCTAAGACAGGAGATTCTGGGCTGGGAGGGGCTCCACCACTTTCTGTTTGAAGAGCTGTCTGCGTGGCAGTGTGGACTGGAAGACCCGAGGATATCTACCTGTTCTTTTTAAAATTTTTTGGCCGCGCTGTGTGGCATGTGGGATCTTAGTACCCTGACCAGGGATCGAACCCGTGTCCCCTGGAGTGGAAGCACGGAGTCTTAACCACTGGACCGCCAGGGAATTCCCAGATATCTAGCTGTTCTTACCTTGTTGTTCTCCGTGTGTGCTGGGGGGTTTCAGCTCAGGAAGGAGAGGGCTTGTTGACACTTAAGGAGGAAAGGTGGACCATGCTGTGGTCCTTCCGCCTGCCCACCTCCCTCCCTCTCTTCCCACATAACATAAAGCTTACCACTTTAGCTATTTTAAAGAGTACAATTCAGTGAGTTTAGTACAGTCACAATATTGTGCAGCTACCACCGTGATCTACTTCCAGAACATTTCCATCACCCCGAAAGGAAATCCTGTGCTCATTAGTCAGTCATTCCCCTTTCCCCCTCCCCCCAGCTCTTGGCAACCACGAATCTACCTTCTGTCCCTATGGATTTGTTTATTCTGGATACCTTACATAAATAGAACTGTACGTTATGTGCACATTTGTGCCTGGCTTATCTCACTTATTGTGATGCCTTCAAGGTTCACCCATGTTGTAATCTGTGTCAGGAGTTCATTCCGTCTTTATGGCTGCATAATATTCTGATGCATGGATAGACCACGTTGTGTTTATTCACCCGTCCGTTGATGGACGTTTTTGCTGTTTCCACCTTTTGGCTATTGTGAATTGGGCTGCGCTTTGCATCATGCACATGTTTTTGTTCAGCCATCTGTTTCAAATTATTTTGAGTACATGCCCCAGAGTGGAATCGCTGGGCCATATGGTAATTTTGTTTAACTTCTTGAAATGCTGCCAAACTTTTCTACAGTGCTGGACCATTTTACATCTCTACTGGCAAAGCATGAAGGTTCCAATATCTCCACATGCTCACCAATATTTATTTTTTTTGTATTTAAAAAATAAATTATTAATATTATGAGAGCCATCCTAGTGGGTGTGAGCTCTAATTGCAGCTTTGATTTGGGTTTCCTTAATGACTAATGATGTTAAGCATCTTTTCATGTGCTTATTGGCCATTTTATATCTTCTTTGGAGTACACCTTATTTTGATGGTTATTTTGTTTGCGTTGTAATTCTGTGTGAACATTTTTCTCTCTCTTCCTTGACCATAAACTGCCTTATTTCTAAAATGGGGCTAATATACTTCTTGAGAGAGATGATTTTTAGAAATTAAGGCATGGCTCAAATCTTTGGCAGAAGTTTGAAATCTCTTTTTTCCCTGCTGCTATTCTACTTTATTTTACAATACAGCATGTAGGGAATTTCCTGACAGCCCAGTGGTTAGGACTTCACGCCTTCACTGCCACGGTCCAGGTTCAGTCCCTGGTTGGGGAACTAAATTCCCGCAAGCTGCACAGCACAGCTAAAAAATGAAATGAAATGAAACAAAATGAAAGTAAAATTAAAAATGCAGCATGTAAGCCTTAGCCTTATTTTCCAACTTAGCAAATTTAATCGTTTTAATTTTCTGAATTTTGACATCTCTGAGTCTAACCCACCATTGTATCCTCTGAAGTTTTAGGTTTTATTTGTATTTTAAAGTCACCTTGTTTCTTAGCTAATGTCGTATCTAGGCAAGTATTTGACTTCTTGCTATTTTAGTGTAAGAGGGTGACTGTCGAAATCGTTTTCATTACCAGGTTTTCTTCCTTTTCAGAAAAAGTTGCCTTTGACCACACTGGCTCAGTGTCTGGTGGAAGGATCAGCTCTCCTGGGAGATGACACGCTTCTTGGGTAAGGCAATTTCATGTATGGGTTTGTGCTAAGTCTAGGTGAGTCCCCATGCTTACAAGGGGACTAACAGTCCTCACGGGGATAGTGAGGACACCTGTGGTCTGGCTGGAGACTGGACGGGGCAGAAGGAAACGTTGCCGGTGAGAAATTGAGCCCCCAGGTCCGGGAGTCATAGTGTCTGTGCAGGTGGCAGCTCCCAAGGGGAGAAGTTAACATGAAACTGTTGGGACTTCCCTGGCGCTCCAGTGGTTAGGACTCTGCACTTCCACCGCAGGGGACACGGGTTCCATCCCTGGTAGGGGAACTAAGATCCTGTATCCCGCATGCCAGTAGGGGGCGGGGAAGGCTGTTGAAGGACACTTGAAATCCCTTGGGCTCCAGCAGAAGCAAATATGAAATCTCTCCGTGTCAGATGTCAGAACTTATAGGATTCCCAGAAGAACAACCCTTGCTGATTTCGAGCTCACAATAAAAACAAACCAAATATAGAATCATCATGAGAGGGGATCTGTATGCACAGTCGGGGGGGAGAATCAGACCCTAAAAACGGAAAATAATGGACAACCTGAAAAGACATGGACAGTGATTGCGTTTAAAATGAAATTTAAAAATTTAATAAAGACAAAACACAATAGGGGTGAAAAAAGAAGAGGCAGAATCAGAGAAAAACCAAATCGAACTTTTAAGAATTCAAATTATACTTATTATAACTTAAAAACTTACTGGAGAGAAACTGGAAGTTGCACAGAGATATGGAAATTGGTGGAACTTAAAGAGGTCTGGAGTTTCGAATTTACAGAATAAAGTACAAGAGGTAAGGATGCAGGTAGCATTAAATGGAGAGACTCAGATGGCAGGATGTAAAGGTACAGCATTATGTGTAGCAGTCGCTCCTGAAGACGAAAATAGAAGGGGAGATTTATGGTTGAATTTTCCTTTTCTAGATTTGAATACAAACATGAGTGTTTAGATTTAAGAAGCACCAAAAGTCCCGATTGAGATCAACCGAAAGAAATCCATCCCTGGATACATCGTCATAAAACTACACACTATTAATAAAAAAGAACTTTAAAATCAACCAGAGAAAGAGATAATTGTGTATAAAAGAGCAATGAGACTGATAACAGACTATTCAGGAGACACAATAAATGCCAGGAAATAATGGAGGAGTGTCTTCAAGTAGTGAGTGAAAATATAAGATATCTAGATTCAGTGATAGACTAAATCTTTATTCAGGAATAAGGGGAAAATAAACATATTTTCAGGCACAGATTTAGAGAAGTTACCGCTTGCGTGTTCTCACTGAAAAATAGTTAAGGATGTTGTGTGAAGCAGATTATGTCTAGAAGAAAAGAATGAAATGCAGGTAACAAGATAGCATTTTTAAAAAAAAGTAGTGGGACTTCCCTGGTGGTCCAGTGGTTAAGACTCCACCTTCCACTGCAGGGGGGCTTGGGTTCGATCCCTGGTCAGGGAGCTAAGACCCCACATGCCTCGCAGCCAAGAGACCAAAACATAAAACAGAAGCAGTATTGTAACGGATTCAATAAAGCCTTTAAACATGGTCCACATCAAAAAAAAAAAAAAAAAAAAAAAAATCTTAAAAAAACAAAAAAAGTGTGAGGGGGAAAAAAAAGTAGTGTGGGAATTCCCTGGCGGTCCAGTGGTTAGGAATCGGCGCTTTTACTCTGAGGGCCCGGGTTCAGTCCCTGGTGGGGGAACTAAGATCCCGCAAGCTGTGCAGTGTGGCTATTTAAAAAAAAAAAAAAAAAAAAAAAAAAGAACCAAAAAACAAAAAACCTTTAAAAAAAAATAGTGAATGTGGTGTAAGGGACTTTTTGTCTCTTACCATCTTAGGTTCCTTCACAGGGCCGTGCAAATTAAATTGACAAAAGACAGATTAATGAGAGAATAGCATACACATTTGATTAACGTGCAGTGCATACACATGGCAGAACTCGGTGATGAGTAACTCAGAGGGGTGGCTGGAACTTGGGCTTATATAGCATTTTAAACCAAAGAACAGTGATTTTTTAGAGAAGTGACAAGCAAGACAGAGGAAAAAAATGTTAGTTTCTATGGCAACGAATTGTAGGAAGGTAAGTATCTGAGGGACTAGTAGAAGGTAAGTGTTAGTTGGTAAGGTTTGTAATGTAGAGTCCACTGGTGCCGTCTCTGGGCTGATAAGGGTCTAGAATTATCTCTGGTGATTAACATCCATCTTTCCTGGTAGAGAGGGGAGGGGGACACCTTTACAACTTCATGTCCCACTTTTAGGCAAATAGGGGAAGGGTGGAAAGCTTTTTTTGTGTCTGCTTCTCCATTGCCTTCAGTTCATACTAATCCTTATGCCAAAGTGGCATACTTTGGGGAGGTGTATCCTGCTACCCTTCAGTGTAAAGAAATATAAATAAACATTGAATTAGGAAATAGCAATATAATAATAATCTGGGGGGGGCGGGGGGGCAGTTAAAGCAAAGGAAAACTAAAATACTAGAAAATAATAATAGGGAGCTTTGGAAAGGGCATCAGTGTTTCAAGCTCTTGTATGAAAGGAGGGTAAAGGTATTACATTTAAATTTAAAGTGAAGTGTGCATGTTAGAAAGGTAAGAACGACCACAAGAAGAAAAGTAATAGAACGTGTAAGTTCAAAATTAGGTGGAGGATGGAGAGAGGAATAAACAAAATAGAAGAAAAAGCCCACAGAACGGACTAAAAGAGAAAAAAGGGGCTTCCCTGGTGGCGCAGTGGTTGAGAGTCTGCCTGTCGATGCAGGGGACACGGGTTCGTGCCCCGGTCCGGGAAGATCCCACATGCCGCGGAGCGGCTGGGCCCGTGAGCCATGGCCGCTGAGCCTGCGCGTCCGTGAAATGCTGACCATGAAATGCTGACAAGGCTGAGGAATTGGCGGCCCCAGGGATCTCAGGAACAGTGGGTCGTTGGAGGGGAGTGGTGATGAAAATCACAAATGGGGGTTGAAAGCTAGTCAGGTGCTATTTGGATCACTCAGACCCAGCTCTTATCCACGCCGCTAGGAGACTCATCCCCTTGCCCCCAAGCCCAGCAAAAGTCTGGAGCTTTATCTCTGGGGAGGGTAAAACAGAGCATCCCGAGACTAGGGGCACTGGGCACAGTGGAGTGTAGGGGTAGCAGTCAGTAAGGTACTTAGATTTTCGAGAGATAAGAGAAGATAATGTGTCCGTGAAATAAAAAACAGGACGTTAATTAAGAAATACAAGAAAGAAATATTCAGGGGACGTCAATTAAGAAATACTTACAGGAAAGAAATATTCAGAGATCAAAAGCAAACTCATAGAAATGAAGACTATGACCTTCTCAGTAGAAAGTTTGGAAGATAAAGTTGAAATCATCCAGAAAAGAGAGCAAAAGACAAGGACACGGAAAATAGAGAACTTAGAAGAATAGAGGGCCAGTCTAGGAAGTCTTAGGCCTGAATAACAGGAATTGCAAGAAGAGGAGAGGAAGAAATCATAATTATAGTTTAAAAAATAATCCAGAGATATTTTCCAGAAGTGAAGAATGTGAGTTTCGATATTGAAGGGGCCCACCGATCTCCTAATACAATAGGAAAAATTAAATGCCTTGTCAGCATTTCATGGTATAAACATCTCAGCTCTCTGCACATCCTACTTCTGGCTTGAGAGTCAGCTTTCTGGGACTTGCTAAGTCAGGTCCCAGTCAATCATATGCTTTACAGCTAACAAAACCCTCTTGTCTTCTCTCCTGTTTTTTCCTGCCTTTGTGGGTTTATGTCTTTTCAGAGAAAACAAAAAACAAAAAACCCTGGATTATAGTCCGTTTTGGAAGGGAACAAAAATTAGATGTGTGTGTTCACTGTGGCATCTTTACCTGGTGTCCTCCATCCTTTACTTTCAACCTTGCTGTGTTACTACGTTTCAGGCAAGTCTCTCAGAAAGGACACATTGATACAACAGGATTCCACATTTACCCACCTGAGAGTCTACACCTTCTAGAGAAAACATTGTCATATACCAGGGGTCAGGAATCTGAATTCTTCCAGCCTTACCAAAAGCAATAGTGAAAGCCAGAAGATTATTATTATTTTTTTAAAATAAATTGACTGATTGATTGATTGGCTGTGTTGGGTCTTCGTTGCTGCTCACGGGCTTTCTCTAGTTGGGGCGAGCAGGGGCTACTCTTGGTTGCGGTGCGCGGGCTTCTCATTGCGGTGGCTTCTCTTGTTGCGGAGCACGAGCTCTAGGCACACAGCCTTCAGTAGTGGTGGCGCGCAGGCTCAGTGGTTCTGGCTCACGGGCTCTAGAGCGCAGGCTCAGTAGTTGTGGCGCATGGGCTTAGTTGCTCCGCCGCATGTGGGATCTTCCCGGACCAGGGCTTGAACCCGTGTCCCCTGTATTGGCAGGTGGATTCTCAACCACTGAGCCATCTGGGAAGCCCGAAGCTAGAAGGTTATTGAACAATGCCTTCAAAATTCTGGGGGAATATGAAGCATAGAATATAGTCTCCTGTCTAACTTTCATTCAGCCTGAGGGTAAAGAGAAGTTGTGACACGCAGGGTCTCAGAAAATGGACTTCCCACACACCTTCTCAGAAAGCCGAAGCGTGGTGGGCCCACAGTGAGGCAGTGACCGAGACAGGCAGGGGTAGGGGAGTAGGAAACAGGATCTCCAGCCCAGGACAGGGAGAGAGAGAATCCAGCAAATGGTGAAGGGAGATTTCCGGAAGACCGCCGTGCCTGGAGAGAGAAGGAAAACTCAGTGCAGATGGACACGGGTCTGGGAGAGGCTGCTTCAAGAAGATGAAATACGAATTCACGTCGGGGTGGTTCAGTAGCTTAAGAGACAAGTGTGGCAGAGGATTTGGGGTGCAGTCAGGTATACAGAAAACTAAACAAGCCGAAATAAGGCAATTATTAAGTCCCAAGAGAACAAATAAATGTGCAGGAAGGACCAGTAATCATAGTGCATAACCCAGCTTTGCTCCGAATAGCAGATGGAGTCAAAAGGTAGTGTAAAGACTAAATATCCACTGATAGAAATAAATGGAGGAAGGGGACATGTAAATAGAGCTAATTCTCATTTCCCATGGTTGAGAGTCAGTAGTGAATGCTTCACAATTCTAAAAAGAAGCAGCAGTTGAAATAGGGAGCTAAGAACCAGAAAAATCAGAGGAAAGACACCATTAAAAAGATACAGAGATAAACCCACAACCTGGGAGTTGACATTTGCAGCAGATCTGAAAAAGAATTTAAATATACTCTACACCCACACACATACCTGTAAGTATATAAAGACCTCCTACAAATAAGAAGATCGTAATACAAAAATCACCAAAAAATACGAATAGGCACTTCATGGACGAGGGACCCTCAGTGACCCAGTTAAAAACGTTTACGGGCTTCCCTGGTGGTGCAGTGGTTGAGAGTCCGCCTGCCGATGCAGGGCACGTGGGTTCGTGCCCCGGTCCAGGAAGATCCCACATGCCGCGGAGCGGCTGGGCCCGTGAGCCATGGCCACTGAGCCTGCGCGTCCGGAGCCTGTGCTCCGCAACGGGAGAGGCCACAACAGTGAGAGGCCTGCGTACCGCAAAAAAAAAAAAAAAAAAAAAAGTTTACATCCATGGTTTGACACTGAACCTATTCTTCTGTTACTTGATTTTTACATTCATCTTTATGTTTGGGGCTTATCCATCTTGATATACATGCAGAATTAGGTGAAACCTTATGATGAATGTAAAAAGCAAGCAGTTTAGCTGGCTGAAGCAGCTGTATTATGTACTGCATGTGAACACATACATATATAATAAAAGTGTAAAAGTATGAACAGGGGGACTTCCCTGGTTGCACAGTGGTTAAGAATCCACCTGCCAACGCAGGGGACACGGGGTTGAGCTGTGGTCCTGGAAGATCCCACATGCCGCGGAGCAACTAAAGCCGTGCGCCACAACTACCGAGCCTGCACTCTAGAGCCTGTGAGCCACAACTTCTGAGCCCACGTGCCACAACTGCTGAAGCCCATGTGCCTAGAGCCCGTGCTCTGCAACAAGAGAAGCCACCACAATGTGAAACGCGCGCACCACAATGAAGAGTAGCCCCTGCTCGCCGCAACTAGAGAAAGCCCATGCGCAGCAACGAAGACCCAACGCAGCCAAAAGTAAAAATTAATTAATTTAAAAAATATATACGGGCAGGAAAAGTACATACTAACTTTAGAATAGTATTACCTCTGTCCATACTTTTGTTAATTTGTAAAAACTTTTTACATGAGTTTCAGGTAACGTGGTACCGTGAAAAGGGAGGGCTGCTTGTATGCCCTTCAGGGGCAATGAACATCTTTGAAATATTGTATTCTCCCGTCTAGGAATATGGCATAACTTTCTACTCATTCAGGTCTTATGTAATTCGCTCATTATTAATAAACTTTTACATGGTTTTCCATTCCAGTTTTTCATTGGAAAATCGCCCGCTCATCCTATATTAAATAAGTTTTCGTGGCTTGGGAGAAGGAGTTTTCTTTCTGTACTGACATTGAGGTTTTGGTATGTGTTTGAAGGTATGTTGGTTTGTTGGCACATTGACTTTAGCTGTTTTCTCCAGTGGTCTCAGGAGGGAGAAACATCTGGCTCTTTCTAGGCCTGTGGATTTGGCATGTGTGAATCTGTTCTCTCCTCATCTCTCTTACTTTCCCCGCAAATCCCCATTTGGCCCAGGCACACAGTAGGTACTCAGCATCCTTTAGAAAGGAGACAGTGTCAGAAATGAAACCACGTGCGGCAGGTTGGTCAGTGGGACGGCACAGCAGTCCACTGCTTTATTAACGCCATCTCGTGAGTGTTCACCTGGCCGGGGGGTGGTGGGTCACGTCTTCCTCTGTGGGGTACTCAGGATGGCTCTTCTTCCCTTCTGTCGCAGGAAGATGCTGAAACTCTGTGGCGAGGCGGAGGACAAGCTGGCCCAGGGGCTGATTCATTTCGAATTGCAAGTCGAGAGAGACGTGATCGAGCCCCTGTTCCTGCTGGCCGAGGTCAGAAGCGGGAGTGAGGCTGGGCCCGCGTGAGCGGGGAGGGCGGAGTGGTGGGCCCTGGGGTCCTTCTGCTCCGGCCTCATGGCTGTTTCTACCCCTCACCCCACTCTGGGGCACAGTGTCTCACCGGGGACCTTTCCTACCCGACTGCCTGGGGTTCCCCAGCCTGGTAGCCCTTTGAGCTGCGGGCTGCCCCCTTCTCCCACCCACCCCCTCCTCTGCTGGCATCCCCATGGGTGAAGCTGCAAGGCTGGCGTCAACACCGCGTCCCCCGCAGTGTCTCCGCCCCATCTCCACCCCTGGCCTCCACCCGTCTCAAGTCTTCGGTGAAATGAGCCGTGGAATCTAAAATAGGACACAAATGAACACAGCTACGAAACAGAAACAGACTCACAGACATAGAGAACAGACTTGTGGTTACCAAGGGGTAGGGGAGGGGGAGGGATGGATTGGGAGTATGGGGCTAGGAGATGCAAACTATTATATATTATATATATATATATATATATATATATATATATATATATAAATTTAATACTGTATTCAATATACAGTATTGAACTATAGTCAATACCCTGTGATAAACCATAATGGAAAAGACTATGAAAAAGAATGTATATATATGTATAACTGAGTCACTTTGCTGTAGAGCAGGAATTCACACAACACTGTAAATCAACTGTGCTTCAATTAAAAACTTAAAAAAAAGAAAATGACCAGCAGCCCCTACTCACAAGGGCTGGGGACCCGTGTCCAAGAGACTCTAAGGCCCCCTCTCTGTTTCTGTTTACATAGGGCCCTTCTCTTTCTACTTTAAAGGACACTAAAGAAAACTGTTTTCTAAAAATGAAGCCTTAATACCTATGTGACAGTTTTGCCAGCTTCAACCAGGTGAAACTTTATGAAGAAAGAAAATCATTGGGGGATGTTATTTGTCCTGAAGCCTGGACCTACTCCCAGTTCCCTTTAATTGATCGTACAAGCCTCCACGGTGCCGTAGGGATGGAGATGTTCCACGTCTGCACTGTTTGGTGGCCGCTAACCACCTGTGACTACAGAGCTCTTGAAATGTGTTTAGTGCAACGAAGGAGCTAAATTTTTAATTCTGTTTAATTTTTGTTCTCTTGAATTTATTTATGTATTTATTTTTGGCCGCGCCCAGCGGCATGTGGGATCTTGGTTCCCCGCCCGGGGATTGAAACTGCACACCCTGCAGTGGAAGCGTGGAGTCTTAACCACGGGACTGCTAGGGAAGTCCATGTTCCCTTGTATTTGAAATGGCATAGCCACAGGTGGCTCAAGGCTACCGTATTCGGGCAGCCTTGCCCTGGACCGTGTCTGGTTTCCTTTCTAGACCACTCCCAGCACCTCCCCATCCCCTGGTGCAATTTCTGGGACAGATGAATGGGTAAGTAGTTACCGAAGTGCTTAGAAGTATTCAAGGAGAACGTTCTAGATATGGTGCTTTGATATGATACCTCGACTTCTCAGATGCCATCCTGGTACAGCCTAGACCATTCCTGAGACGCCCTCTTACTCTTTAGAAAGGTGCTCTGGAGTCCCAGCCCAAGCCGCAAGCGAACTCAAGGGGGCAGGTCTGAGCTGGGTGCTGAGACTCGCTTTGCGTCTGGGCTCCGCGGTGACCCCGGTGCCTGGGGACAATTGTCTGCCTTCCTACCGGAAGTCAGTGCCCTACTCATCTATGCCTGGAAGAGTGAATACAGAGCACCTCGTACAACACTCGACCATCCTCACATTTTTTCCTTTTAAATTCTCACATCCTGCCCCACTTTTGCTGGGCCTGCAAGCAACATCCTGCACCGGAATGTTCACTTAAGTCACCTTTAGAAATAAAAGAGCATCCACACACGGCCACCGTAGGAGAACTTATCACTCAGTGAAGCCATGGCGATGTTTCTTCATTATTTACTTTGGGAAAATACCTCCCTTCTATAGGAATATACCCTAATTACATTCCCCATAGCATCTCAGGCCTCCTGAGGCCAGGACTCCTCCAGCTGTCTGTGTTGCATTAGGTCTGTGTATCAGATCTACCTGCCTTTCTTCCCATGTCTGGCCCTCAGGCAAGCAGAGAGATGTTTTTGCCGGCTGGGTGAGAGCGGGAATGAGGCGGGCAGAAGCGAGCCGGGCGACCCAGGGCCTCTGAGATGGTCTGGCTTGACTCGGGACCTGACAGATTCCAGTGAAGAAAGAGCAGAGTTTAGCTCAGGAAAGGGAACCAAGAATTTCCTCTGAAAATGAGGATGGGGAGACCTCGAGCAAACTTGTTGGGAAGATATCATTAATTCCTTAAGAATCTGTCTTTTCTCGCAGACCTAGAAAACAAACTCACGGTTTACCAAAGGGGAAAGGGAAGGGAGGGATAAATTAGGAGTTGGGAATTAGCAGGTACACACTACCATATACAAAATAGTTAACCAAGAAGGCCCTACTGTGTAGCACAGGGAACTATATTCAGTATCTTATAATAACCTATAATGGAAAAGAACCTGAAAAAGAATAGATATATATGTATAACCGAATCAATTTGCTGAAACATTTTAAATCAACTATATTTCCATTTAAAAACATTAAAAAAAAAAAAAAAAAAAAAAAAATCTGTCTTGGGCTTCAAATCAACTGTGTTTTTTTTCTCCTGTACCCACAGGTGGAAATCCCAAATATCCAAAAACAGAGGAAACATCTAGCAAAGCTGGTGCTGGATATGGACTCTTCACGAACGAGGTGTGGTGGGATTTCTTTGCTTTCATTTCTGCTTCTTTGAAGGAGCTGTGATCATGTTTGAGGGGTAGGGTTTTGTGTGTGAGCGTTTTCATTCATCAGGTGTTTCTTACACCCACCGTGTGTCAGGCGCTGGAGGTCCCGGGACCATGCTCTCATGGAGGCTACAGCCTGGTTTGGGAGTTAGATCTAGGCAAGAGAACACACACGTGAGGCTGTTTCAGAAGCCATAAGTCCTATCAAGAAGGGAGCACAGTGTAATTTTGGCAGGAGATGTGGAGAAGCGGGCTGCAGCATTAGATAGGGTGAATGAGAGAAGGCTTTTTTGAGGAGATGACACTTGATCTCATAAGAAGGAGACAACCGTGCAAAGATCCGGTGCAGAACTGCCCATGACAGCAGGAACAGCAGATGCAAAGGTCCTGCGATGGGAATGAGGTTGACGTATTCAGGACACAGAATGAAGACCAGCGTGGCAGGGGTGGAAGGGACAAAGTGGGGAGTGGTAGGGGCAGAGATCCGAGAGGCAGGTAGCGTGATGTGTCATCCTGTTTACCATGAGAGGAGTATTTCTGATTCTGGGGACCTGGTCTCCTTTTCCTGCGGTCGATGGTGTGACTGTCTCTTCTGCAGCCATTCTGTAACCATCATGCGAGAAGTGCAGTTCCAGCAGTGCTGCCCTTCCCCTGCTCCCTCCTCCAGAATCTACTGGGAGATTCCTGTTCCAGCAGGGGCGTGCCATGGCCCTGCAGTGGCTTTGACCGTGGCCGTCATAAGTCATGGTTGTGTGTAAATGCCTTTTTATTTCTTACAGTGGCCTGCGTGCGTACATGTGCACGTTGAAACAGTGCAGACTCGTGAATAATAATACGGAAGGAACATTTTGGTTCCACCTTTGGTCCTTTGTAGGTCAAGTTTAAGAATCTCCGCATCTTATTTTAATTTTCTTGAGAAAAAGAAACAAGGACAAAACTGGAAAGACTTTGGCTGGGAGCTATAGGATAACGAGTCCCAAACCAGGAGTGAATGATTAGGTCCAAGATAACAGGTTGCCTGTTCTCTAGACCTGCGACCTTGGTCAAATCACTGAACCTTCCAGAATAGTAATCTCCTCACCTGTGCACAGACAGTAGCAACATTTGCAGTATTTGTGAGCCGACCTGGGAGGTTGTTTGGGGTGTCAGATGAGATCCTGTTGGTCACAGCACTTCCCAAGAGCTTCCCAAAAGGAAGCTGCTGCTATAACTAGTTGAGGCACCAGAATTCTGCATTTGGACCAACAGAAAGTGTAGCACAGCCCCCCAAGACCAGAAGTAAATCAGGCTAGATTAGCAGAGAAACAGAGTTTCTTTCTTCTTTTTTTAATTGCAGTATAGTTGATTTACAGTGTTTTGGGTGTACAGCAGAGTAATTCAATTATACATTTATATCTATCTATCTATCTATTTTTTTTCAGATTCTTTTCCGTTACAGTTTATTACAGGATACTGAACATAGTTTCCTGTGTTCTGCAGTAGGTCCATGTTGTTTATCCACCGTATATATGGTAGTGTGTATCCGTCAGCGTTTCTTTAATTCACGTAGCGTTTCCCAAACTTCAGTCCACCTGAATGATCTTTGACATCTGTGCCAACACACCTTGTGAAATGTCGATACATTTTTTTTCAAAATGACTCTATTTAAAAGAGAAATCTTAACAGCACTACCATAAAGTGAAAGGCAGTGCCCTTAGCTACAAGTATCAGGTAAATGTACAGGTGGACGGGATGAAAGCAGTACCCGTGCTGTTAAATTTTAGGTCCTGTTGCCTGTGGAAGGCTGTGATCCTGAAGTCCCCAGTTGCTGAAAAGGGAAGAGGAGGAAGGATTGGAAAGTGGCTGAAGTTACTCTGCCCCAGATCTGAGGCCCTCCCTCTGGGGCCCTTGGAGGAACAGGGAGAAGGTTGCATCAGGCATAATGGTGTGGTACGACTTCCTACAGTGTCCGTGCGCCACGTAAAATGCGTCCTGTAGCCCCAGTGTTCAAGTCCCACATCCCGGAGTCACATAAGATGATGGCGGGTGTGCTGCTTGTTCCACCATCCGGGTGACGGTGGACACCGGGCTCCTGGGTTTGCAGAGTCATTTCCTTCTGCGAGAACCTGGGCTTTAGCTCTGAGATCTCTTCTCTGCTTCTCTAAGGAACACCTGCATTCCCAGCCCAGAGCTTCTGCTCAGAGGGCTGGATGTTAGCATCAAAGCTTGTCATTGCCTTGTCCACTTACGTATTTTCATTCAGCCCTCCTTAGGGGAGAGAGAGTTTCTCCTTGGTGACCGCCGTGGTCAACCTAGTTTTGTCTTATGTTTTTCATGGTGACACCAAGTGGTGTATAGATTCTGAAACCACAGAGGAGTGTCATCAGGGACCTCTCTTCCATGATTTAAGAAACTCCTTCAGGTCTTCAGCTCATCCTCTCTTGTGTATTGGGATTTGGTAAGGAAATAATCTACTACCCCCTCCAAATTTTTACGCTTCTAACCTTTAACTTAGGCCCTTGACAACTTTGGTTGTTTCTGAAGCCAACTCACCCCAACTTCTTGCCTTTTCCTCTAACCCTTCCCCCGAGCCACTGTTTCCCAAGATGGAGCAGTGAGCGTAAGACCGGATACTCTGCTACTGAAATGCAGACGTCACCAGCTACTCTTGGAGGAGCAGTTGGGTTCTCACTGCCCCCACCTCTACCCCACCCCACTTCCCCATTTGGTCAGTCTGCACACATTAGGGTCTATTCCTTGTAGCACCCTCCTTCTGAGCCGGGACCTCAAAAAGTGGAGGATGCCAAAGGCAGAGGAGCGGAGAAGACTGGGCAGATGAAACAGTAAATGTCCCCCTAAAGCAACTTTCCTGTTTCCTTCCAAAACCTCTTCCGGACTCCCTGTCCCCCTGCGCTGGTCTTGAGTTTGCCTTCTATACCCTTCTCCTGGTCTCTGAAACATCTTACCCTTACTTCTGGCCTTTTTCTTTCCATTAGCATTTCCTTAAAGCTTGTATTCTGTCTTCACCATCCGCAAATCGTAGACTGATGGCATCTTTCGCAGAGAATGATGGGGTCGCCTCAGCTACCTTAGTGGGAAGAAATGAACTTTCTTCTCCTCAAACTTCAAACTCTTCTTGGACAAGAAGCCTTATTTCTTCTCCTAACAGAGCAGAACAATTGTTGAGTTTACTTATAAGAGCCTCTGAATGAGAAGATCGTCCTTCCTCGAAATTCATGATTTTTAAAAATGTTTTAATTTTATTGGCGTATACTTGATTTACAATGTTGTGTTAGTTTCAGGTGTACAGCAGAGTGATTCAGTTATACACACACATATATTCATTGTTTTTTAGACGCTTTTTTCATGTAGGTTATCACAGAATATTGAGTAGAGTTCCCTGTGCTGTACAGTAGGTCTTTGTTGGTTGTATATCTTATATATAGTAGTGTGTGTATGTTCATCCCAGGCTCCTGACTTATCCCTCCCCACCTTTGATAACCATCAATTTGTTTTTGATACCTGTAAGTCTGTTTCCTTTTTGTAAATACGTTCATTTGTATCTTTTTTAAAAATTAGATTCCACATATGAGTGATATCACATGATACTTGCCTTTCTCTGTCTGACTTACTTCTCTCAGTATGACCATCTCTAGGTCCATCTATGTTGCTGCAAATGGCATTATTTCATTCTTTTTTATGGCTGAGTAATATTCCATCGTATATATGTACGTCTGCTTTATCCATTCCTCTGTCGATGGACATTTACGTTGCTTCCATGTCTTGGCTATTGTAAATAGTGCTGCAATGGACACTGGGGTGCATGTGTCCTTTCAGATTATGGTTTTCTCAGGGTATATGCCCAGGAGTGGGATTGCTGGATCATATGGTAGCTCTATTTTAAGTTTTTTCAGGAACCTCCATACTGGTTATACCAATTTACATTCCCACCAATAGCGTGCAAGGGTTCCCTTGTCTCTACACCCTCTCCGGCGTTTACTGTTTGCCGAAATTCATGATTAGTGGCACTTTTCCCAATTAGTTGCTACCTGTACAAGCGTTTCCAAGTTTCCCTTGATGTTTTGCTATTCAGTCTCCACAAAGGGACCATTTGGGGGGCATATTATCACTATTGTGTAATATCAAAGTAGATAACTTATCCGTTACAAGTAAAATTACTTATAAATGGAGGGGAAAGGTGTATGTTTTTAAACTACCAGGACAGAATTGGGGGTGGGGGTGGGGAATAAAGGGGAATAGGGAAGAAAAGAAGGAGATAACTTTGGAGAGTGTCTTCATTTTAATATACATATATTAAGTGTAATTTGGATTTTTTTAAAAAAACAAATTGAATCCAGATCTGTAAAACCCTAAAAATCAGCTTAGTGTTTGTGGCCACTTTGTTTATTTTTTACACTTATATATTGGTTAGTTTTTTTTTTCCTTCAGGTAGCATGAATGGGATGGTGGTTGTAGCTCCATGATCTACCATAATCAGCCATGGAAGTGCGTTCATTATCTGAGATCTAAATTACAACCATGACATTTCATATTTTATTTGGCTAAGCCTGGGAGGTATTAATTAAATATTTCTGTAGGGCAAACCATTATAAGAAAGAATTGCCCAGGAATTTTTACTAATCCTTATCTGTTAGCTTAGATTTTTTTTTTTTTTTTAACATTTTGGAATAGAATGTATCCTTTCTAATTTGGATGAGGAATCTTTCTCAGGACATGTACATGTGTCCATCTCTGGAGCTTCAAGCCAGCTTGATGTCCTAAAGCCTTTTTAAGTAATTTTCACATGGGTGCGCGTTTTAAGTGACAGAGAATCCTTCATTTTGCTACTTTTTGCTAATAGCAAAGAGAACTAATGTCCCCTTTTTTGGTATTATAATGACCCACTCTCTAATTTTTCCCTGCACATAACACAAGAGGAAAGAAGAATTGTACAGAGAAGACACTTAGTGATTCAATTCTTGATTCTCAAAATGAGGGTAAAATTGCACTTTTTGCCTCTACATTGGATGGACAGTCCAAGAGCCAGATGGAGCCCACGGGCCTCTTTGGTTTGGTCCGTACACGGTTGGCCTGCATGGTTTCAGAGGATGCTATTTAATCTGTTATCACGTTTCATCTGATGAGTTCACTTGACAGTTCGCAGTTTGTCAGTTGAAACATCCAGCAACCTATGGGCCACACTCCTCCTGCCCGGGCCCCATCAGCCCTGATCACCCTCCAGTGAACCCCCACCAGGTCCCCGTCCCCTCCCTGTTCCTCCTGACTTCCCAAGACTGCAGCCAGGCATTGGCAGCCTTTGTCATCCTGATTACGCGATTGTTTTTCTTAGAGCTGAGAAACAGCTTTATATCTCATGTCCCTGTCACAAGTAGGAAATAAAGGATTGGGTGGAAGAGATTTTAAGATAATGACCCATTTGACTTATTTTTCCTACTTGCTGGGCCCTATAGGCTGTTGAGTTTACAGCCTCAGCTGCTGTTCCCTGCTATAGCTACTAGCATCTTAGCATAATTAGAACCTTCTTTCAGGGCCCGCTTTTGGTAATTCCTTGATAATGACTTAGCGACCAGAAATATTTGTGCTTCCCCACTAAAGTTTCCCAAGGGGCTCCCTCAGAAGGCCAGTATTCTCTGCAGAGAGATAAATGTTTAAGAAAATATAAATGAGGTGTTGCAGTGTTGTTGGTCAGAGGTTGCTTAGTGCTTACCAGTGGAGACATTTGCTTTCACATTTGTTTTAATCTTACCCACTTGTCCTCTCACTTAGCACCCATGATTGGCTTCAGCCAAGTAGGTGAATGTTTCGAAAGTCACAGCCCGCAGGATAGGCAGGAAGCTAATAGGAATGGCATGGACCGTGCTCCAGAGGAAGCAGTGGTGAAGTCGTGTGGCCTGAGTGTTCAGAAGACAGTAGGGAGGATGATGGCAAATTGGGGAATCCTTGCTCTGTCTGCAGTGGCCGCTATCCTCAGCCTCCTTCAGTCCTGCCGCTTGGACATTGGAGCCCCCTTTCTCCTGGTCTGGTACTGGGTACCTTCTCATTATCTCTCCTTTGGAATGAGGCTGTGTCGTTCCCTGGGTGATACTCATGACCAGCTATTTCTCTGCTTCCCACAGTGTCCCCAGGGCTTTCTCTACCTGTCTCACACCTCTCCTCTTTGTCTCCTCTTTCCCATCAGGTGGCAGCAGACTTCCAAGTCGTCGGGTTCGTCCAGCAGCTTACAGCCTGCAGGTGCCAAAGCGGATGCCCTCAGGGAAGAGATGGAGGAATCTGCCAACAGAGTGGAGATTTGCAGGGTACCCAGCTCTTTGCTCCCCTCCACTGAGAAAGATGGGGAAGCCCTAAGGGAGTCCCTTTCTGTTGGCTGGAGGTCTGTGAAAACCCTAACAGTGAGCCTCTGGTTGAATCAGCATCCCCAAGCTTGCCTGCTGACACCTCCAAAGAGTCCTGCACGAGCCCTAAGAGTTGGGGCTTTCATGGTGACCTGGATGCGGGGGGACAGCAGTGGGTGATCACTGATATTCCTGCGTGGTGGGCCAAGAGGAAATGGCCTCGGTTTCTCCACCAAGATTTTGTGAGTCATCTGAGCCCCAAATCATAGATTCTAGGCCACCCAGAACAGTTGAGAGTTTAGACAATAGATGAGCCTTGACTCCCTGTTGATATTACATTATTTTCTTGTTTGCCTTTTACTGTTTCCTGAGTCACTTTATCAGTCCTTTGCTTCATGGGAGACATACATGTATCTGTGAAGTTGAAATGCTAGCCAAGGAGACACTTGCAGCAAAGAAAACCTTCCACTTGTCAGGAGAGGAGGACCTCGTTCTACAAAGTGTGCCTCTGCCCTTGGGAGTGATAGGTGCCCCTCATCACCCATCACCCATGTTCAAATGTTTCTCATCTACTTTCCCCACAAACGTTTTATGGGACTTTGTCAGCAATACCCATTCTTGATGCTCTGTGTATATGTACATCTGTATACGTGCAGATATGCCAGTTTGGGTTTGGATCTAAGGAACAAAAATACCACATTTCTAGAATTATGCTGGTATCTGTTGTCTTCCTAACATACAGTTTTACAGGAGAGCGGCCACTTTGCATGCGTACATCTTTGTTCTTTGTGGCTTCATCGAGTCTTACCTTGTCCATCAGCTTCTGCTGTTATGACCACGCTGTACAGGTAATTCAGACCTTGCATTCGGGTGACATTCACAGTCAGATAGAATTTCTCTCTGGAGTTAGAAACATCAAAAATATCTCGAAAGGACTTGATATCTCTCAGCCTCCAGTTCTGTGGAGCCAAGCAAAGATAGACCAATACTTCAGACCCAAGACTCATTGTGAGTAAAGCTGGGTTCTCATTTGAATTCCTGTGTCTCTGGCAAAGATCTCGGTGGTGCTCCTCGTGAAGAATCACTCTTCGCTCATGTTGATTTCCCTTTTACTCTGTGTCTTCTCTACCCGTTTACCATGGGTTCATGTCCTTCAGTTAAATCTTGTTTCTTACCGAATTCCTTCTTTGCTAGACACAGCAGGGTGATGTTAAGAGGGGCTGCTGGCGAGTTCCCTGGTAGCCTAGTGGTTAGGATTCCAGGCTTTCACTGCTGTGGCCTGGGTTCAGTCCCTGGTTGGGGAACTGGGATCCCACAAGGCTCACGGAGTGGCCAGGAATGAAAAAAAAAAAAAAAAAAAGTGGTGAGGGGAGCTGCTGAATGCAAATATCCAAACGCATTAGAGTAAAAGTTTAATAGCTTCACTCAGTCTTGGGTAGCTTCTTACATAGGCTGTTTTTACCAAAAAATATATTAAAATTCCTTTTCAGAGATTACAAAAGTATTGCATGTTCACCAAAACGAGTGGACAAAAATTGAAAATATATTAAGAAAACACCAATAATTCTTTCCCTTCCTACCCAGCAACCAACCAACCAACCAACCCCTCCGTTTGCAAAGGAGGTGACCAGTTTGCCTTTCTCAACAATATTTATTAAGATTTGTTGTGAACAGTGTGCCCTGTGACGTGCCGAGTGGCCATAAAAGTTATACGGATAAGGAAATAAGTGTTAGGACCTGTTACATAGCCTCCCACTCTTTTTTCTTTTTTATAATCATACAAATAAGCCCTCATATATAGCATTTTTCTAGGTACTTGTTTTGTGTTTGTGTGTATGTGTGTGTTTATAAAACAGTCATGTTGTTTCTATTGGTCTGTCACTTTTCTCAATTAATAGTACATCCTGGACGTTTCTCCAGGTTAGTAGCTCTAGATCCAACTTAGTCTTCTTAATATTGTGCACAATATTCCTTAGTAAGGAGGTATCTACCATGATATATTTAGCTATTTTTCCTAGTGATAGATATTCAAACTAATGTGTTTTGTTTCTTTGTTTTTTGCCATCAACAAAAATGATATAATCAACATCATTTTATGTATATTCTTATACACTGGTAACTTTTTTCCCCTATAGGATAGATCCCCAAAAGTGATATTTTTAGGTAGAAGGCTGTGTATACTAGTTAAGTTTTAATAGATATTGACAGTTTACTTCTCTCTTTTTTTTTTTTAATTAATTTATTTATTTTTGGCTGCGTTGGGTCTTCGTTGCTGCACGCAGGCTTTCTCTAGTTGCAGCGAGCAGGGGCTACTCTTTGTTGCAGTGTGCGGGCTTCTCATTGCTGTGGCTTCTCTTGTTGCGGAGCACGGGCTCTGGGCATGAAGGCTTCAGTAGTTGTGGCTCGCGGGCTCTAGAGCACAGGCTGAGTAGTTGTGACACACGGGCTTAGTTGCTCTGCGGCATGTGGGATCTTCCCGGACCAGGGCTTGAACCCGTGTCCCCTGCATTGGCAGGCGGATTCTTAACCACTGCGCCACCAGGAAAGCTCCATTTTACCTCTCTTAAAAGGAAACTGGGGCTTCCCTGGTGGCGCAGTGGTTGAGAGTCTGCCTGCCGATGCAGGGGACACGGGTTCGTGCCCCGGTCCGGGAAGATCCCACATGCCGTGGAGCGGCTGGGCCCGTGAGCCATGGCCGCTGAGCCTGTGCGTCCGAAGCCTGTGCTCCGCAACGGGAGAGGCCACAACAGTGAGAGGCCTGCGTACCGCAAAAAAAAAAAAAAAAAAAAAAAAAAGGAAACTGCAATTTATATTCCCACCACTAATATACAGAATTGGACATTTCACTTTATCTTTCTCCGTAATGTATGTTTTTCCTGGTTTCAGTTTTTGCCCGTCCAGTGAGGGGGAAAAAAAGCTATCCCTATGTTATTGTAATTTTAACTTCCCAGGATGTTAGTGGTCCTAATTATATCTTTGTGTATTTATTGGACATTCTTCCTATATTTCTAGACCTTCTTAGTTGGTCAAATTGTCTATTTGTATTGGCAGTCAGACCAGTATTTCTGTTGTTTTTAATAGCAATTTGTGTAAGTTCTCTGTATAATTAGAGCTATTAAACTTTCTTCTATCTGCTGTGCTGCAGATACTTTTTCCAGTCTGCCGTTGTCTTTTGATTTTTGTTTCTATTGATGTCTGCCATTAAGAACTTGAGCATATACCTGTATTTCCTTTGTATGGGAGAAGACCCCAGGTGGTCCATCAGGCACCTTCCACCTCGAGGTTAAGAAATTTTTCTTCTTTAATTTTGTTTTAATGTCTTCAGTGCATCTTGTACACCTATTTTGTGCATGTTAATATACCTGAAATTTATTTTTGTATGTGGTGTGCAGGAGAGATTTGGGTGCTTTCCCCCCATATGAAGAGGTAATTCATTTATTAGATAAGCCACCTCCCCCTGAAGTGAAATCCTACCATCTGATGCGTCAGATTTATTTCTGGGCTCTGTATTCCATTCATCTGCTTGTCCGTTCCTGGGATAGTACTGTGTAGTGTCTCTTTTAATGACTTCATAGCAATTATAATATTCAATAATTCCCACTCTCTTTCATAGCTATCTTGTCTGGTCTGTGGCCTCTGTTTCATCATATGAACTGTAGAATGATCACATCCAGTGGATAAAACCACGCATTGTGCTCTCGGCAGCCTTATTTGTGTGCTGAGCAGATCCCCTTGAGAGCAGGCACTGATGTTTTCTCTGAAGTTCTCTTCTGACTACTCTTTTATTTCTACTTCATTGGCTGCCAGCTGCTCTAAACACCCACTGTGGTCCTCCTCCCTTCCCTTTCTGGGTTGCCCTAATTGGGTCATTTCCCCTTCTAGCTTCATGGCTTTGTATTCTCTCAGCCGGATCTCCTACACTGTGGCAGCCCAGCAAAAGGAAAGTTTGTGGGCTGAAGGTGACCAAGGTGGCAGTCTGGTTTCCCTGTGTTTAGGCACAGTGAGGCCCAAGCAGAGCTCCCCAGATCTTTAGACCCAGAGAGCTTTGTTTTTTGTTTTTGTTTTTTTTTTCAATTTTTATTGGAGTGTAGTTGCTTTACAGTGTTGTGTTAGTTTCTGCTGTACAGCAAAGCAAATCAGCTATGCATATACATAGATACGTATAGCTTTTTTGGATTTCCTTCCCGTTTAGGTCACTGCAGAGTATTGAGTAGAGTTCCCTGTGCTTTACAGTAGGTTTTCATTCGTTTTCTATTTTATACATAGTATCAATAGTGTATATATGTCAATCCCCATCTCCCAGTTCATCCCACTCTCCCCTCCCCCTTGATATCAGAACTCTTGTTCCCTACATCTGTGTCTCTATCTCTGCTTTGCAGATAAGATCATCTGTATCATTTTTTCAGATTCCACATATATGTTTTAACATACGATATTTGTCTTTAGACCCAGAGAACTTTAGATCCAGGAAAACCAAGTCAAGGTGGGTTCCATAAGACGGAACCTGCTGGTACCTGGGGCAGGTGGGCAGGTGCAGTGTTTCTTTTTTATTCCTTCTTAGAATTTCCATGTCTCTACTTACATGATCCTTCTGTTCTTGTGCGCTGCCTACTTTTTCCATTAAAGCCCTTAGCATGTTAATCATATTTTTAAAAATTCCTAGCCTGATAACTCCAACATTCTTGACACATCTGACTCTGGTTCTGATGCTTGTTCAGTTTCTCCAAACTGTGTTTTTGCCTTTTAGTATGCCTTGCAAGTTTTATCGAAAGGTGGACACAGTGTGTACTGGGTAAAGGGAACTGAGGTAAGTAGGCCTTTAGTGATGTAGTAGTCAGGTGTGGGAGCGGGAAGCATTCTGTAGCCCTGTGATTAGGATGAACAGGGAGATGGGGTTGAACCGGGTTCAATCCCTGGTTGAGGAACTAAGATCCCACAAGCCGCACGGCACGGCCAAAAAAAAAAAAAAAAAAAAAAGTTTTCTCCTAAGGGTAGGTCTTGTTAAGAGTAGAATGCTCTAGAACATTTCAAAATGGTACCTTTCCTCTTCCCCTTGGCAAAAGCCAAAGAGGGTTTTTCTCTGATGTTCACTGTGAGAACTTAGCTCAGCAAGAGTGTGAGGGCTCCCCCATTCCCTGGAGTTTTTAATTCTCAGACTTGCCACCCTGAGCCTCCTACGGTTTGTCAATTACAGTTCAGGGTTTCCTGAAACTACAGAGATTCCTGCTCCCGGATTTCTTCTCCAGTAAGTTGTGATTCTCGTATTCACCTGTCTGCCTCTCTGGTTTGGGGGCAGTGGTTTGCCCTGTACCCTCACTTCTCTGATGGATCTGAAAAGAGTTGTTGATTTTTTAGTTTTTTGCAGCTCTTCGCGTTTGTTAGGACTGACCTTCTACGTGCCAAATAGGAAACCAGAAGTAAACAGTAAAAATCAAGGTTTCACTTTTTACCAAGAAAAAGTACTTAAGAGACCAGTATTTATAAATATCTTGGGGATTTTTTTTAACAACAGAAATATCTAAAATCCTACCATAACATTTTGTAATATAGGGTAATTATAAAATATTACTAAGGAAATCAAAGAAGGCTTTATAATACTGAGAGGTGTTTTTAGATGAGAAGAGTTAATACTATACAAATTGAATTTCCCAAAATTATTTTGATTACAAGTGTAGTATTTTGATTGTGGTGAATTGCAATAAATGTTTCAAAGGGTAGTAAAAGGTTTCTAAAGTTATGGTGGGAGAATTATTGGAGCTTTGAGTTATTATCTCCTAAAATGTATTATAGAATTACATAGTTAAAATAGGTACTATTTAAAAAATAAAAACATCAGTGGAAAAAAAAAAAAAGGCCTCCCAGCCAGAAGAAAATCCAAAGTCCAAGTATATGAGAAGTTTCATCTGTGAGATTTGTAATCCATAGGGACAGTCTATTTGTGAATAATTCTCAGACATTTGGTTAGTTCTTTGAAAAAAGAAATCTGTATCCGATACAAGTACCAAAATAAATTCCCAATTTATCAAAGATTTAAATGTCATATTCTCCACTGAATATATATATATATGGATATTTATATTGTTGGTTGAGAGGCACCAAGCAGATTACCAAAGGAGGAGGTTGTAAAAAGAAAAATTTCATACATACTACTATTTACAGAAGCCCTAAAAAAATGCAGTACCAAAAAAAAAGTTACAGTTTCAGACAGGAAATTGGGGGAGAGATTAGCAGTATTTGATAAAACTGATGGTCTCATCAATCTAAAAAACTCTTAGAAATCTTATAAATAAGAAATAGATGAAGACTCTCATAGGAAAATAGGTACTCAGGGTCACAAGGAATTGACAGTGGATGACACAAATAGGTAAGAAAGGTAGAAGAAAGTTAAGCTCTTGATCAAAAAATACGAATTAAAAACACATTATTTAAATTTCCTCTAGAAATTTGATTGTGATTAAACAGAATTAAATGGTTATTATAGAAAACAAACAAAACTCATGGATTAGTCCTTGTAGTATAAATGGTGATCTTTCAGCAGTATAATGCATAAGATCTAATTTCCCAACTCATAATTATCTTTCTAATATTTTTTAAGTTAACTCTAAGGAATTATACAATCAGAATTCATTTTTTTTTTTTTTTTTTTTTTTTGTTAGTGG